GAGAGAGAGAGAGAGAGAGAGAAACTAACTAGGCGCCTCCCCCCCTTCAACAGAAACACGATCAAGTGTAGTATCTGCTTTGATCAATTTCATATCCGATCCTCTCTCCCTGCATGATCAAGCGTAGCATTCACTCCGTTCAGTTTCATATCTTATCCGTGGTCTATCGAGGCCTTTCTATTTTATAAAAGAAATAGCAAAGCACGCGCGTGCACGAGCAAAAGAAAAAGAGAGAGACACACACACAGCAAGAGAGAGAGAGAGAGAGAGAGAGAGAGAGAGAGAGAACCCATTTTAACCAACCCCCTCTCCCCCCCCTCCCCCCCACACACACACACACACACACACACACACACACACACAGGCACACACACACACACACACACACACAGAGGCACACGCACACAGTGACACAGGCACACACGCGCGCACGCACCGAGAGAGAGAGAACTTGAAAGACACAGAGTAGGGTAGACCCTGGACAGTTAGTTCTCTTTTACTACCTGGGTGTTCGGCAGCTCGTTCTAGCCTTGTTTCAGTAGGGTTGCGATCTATATCTCTCAAGGTGACAGGCATGGAAGGAGTCCCTGGACTCTCTGTGCGAACGAAGTAGGAACAGTCTTTTGCTCTCCGCTTCCCGAGGACCTGTCTTTCCATGCCTTTGGCCCTTTGCTGCATGCTGTTTCATCGCAAAGGAGCATAGTGAAGCATCCACCTATGGGATTACATTACCCAGGCCGCAAGGTTCCTTCTAAACTTAGCACTAAAAGTCTGGAGTTTGGAATGTCTCCTTGCCTCCTTTTCTTGAACGGATCCCGCGCCCGATCGGAACAACCCTACATCTTCCTCCCGTCGTTCTCGTCTCGGTTCTTTCACTTTTCGAAGTTTTCGTTTGAACGAAAAGTAAACCCATAGTCTTTCGGGACATCCGTTAAAATTGGAACGATACAGAGAAGATTAGCATGGCCCCTGCGCAAGCAAGGATGTCACGCATAAATCGAAAAGTAATCCCATAGGTCTAGCATTCAGCCACATGGACCCCGGGAACCAAATGGGACTTATATAGGCAAAGTTTGGAGTTCAGACGAAAAGTAATCCCACTTAGTACCCGAATGATCGATTTCTGACAGCAGATTTGGAAGATCAACGACCAGAAATCAAGGATCACTGGAAGTGGGACTTGGTTCCCGTGGTCCATGTGGCTGAATGCTAATAAGCAAGTCAGCCACATGGACCCCGGGGACCAAGTCCCACTTACAGTGATCCTTGATTTCTGGTCATTGATCTTCCGAATCTGCGGTCAGAAATCGATCATTCGGGTAAGTGGGACTTGGCCCCGGGTCTCCTGTCTTCTTTCCCCGTTTTGTTTTGTTTTGTTTCCTTTTCCTCTTTCTTTTCTGCGACTTTTTTTTTTTTTTTTTTTTTTTTTTTTTTTTTTTTTTTTTTTTTTTTTTTTTTTTTTTTTTTNTTTATTTTTATTTTTTTTACAAATCTCTGGTGATTATCCTCGACGTCTCTGTTTTCTTTCCCTTTCTTTTCCCCTCTCTTCCTGATCGGAAAAGTGAGCCAAATATCAGGTCGAGTACACGGAAACAGTTACGCTTGGAGTCTGCGCCCCCCCACCTCTCCCCCCCTCCCCCCAAACAACCCCCAAAAAGAAAAAAGTAGCTCCTCGTTCAGTCTATCCAGGCCTTCAATGGCAGATAGAGAATCCACACCCGACCGGAAGATTCTTTCTATCCTCGGCTTGCTCGTGTTTCTTCTTCCTTTTTTTCCTTCTTCTTCCTTTTCGCTTTGCCTCCTCTTTTCGGATTGGAGCTGATGATTCAGAGCGGAACTTTTCTTCTTTAAAAAAAAAAAGAAAATCCATTTTTTTGAAGAGTAGAACTCCTTTATGTCTGGGGATGACCGCTGGACGTCCGTACATAATTTTTTGCTTTTCGTTCTCTTCCCTTCTCTTTTTTCCCTTTTCTTTGCGCCAGTGTATAGCGTGCGCCCCTCTGATGAAAGAACAAGTAAGGAAGAGCTGGCCCGGGGAACGCAACAATCTGCCCGTAAATTAGTGCTCAAGGCTATTCTAGTAGTTGGCTTATAGGGAGGAGACAAGCCATCCCTTATTGTCTTGACAGTCGGTGGGGGGGGGGGGGGAGAGGGGAGAGGAGGGAATCCTTTATTGTCCTCAAAATGACTCCATGATCATGAAATCGTCCAAACAAAAGCGGTCCTGTGGGAAATAGTGATAGCGTCCGAATATAATGAAGTCCTCTGTGCGGTTGTGAAAAAGCGAGGAGAAAAAAAAAACAAGTTCCCTGAAATGAAATTCAACAAGGAAATGACCAAGGAGAAGGGCCAACTCCTCCATGACCTCCTGCAAAACTCTGTATTCGTCGGGTCCAATCACCGAAAGTAATACTCTTGAAAAATCCTGAGGCGTCACTCTCTGTGCTTTCGTTGTGATTTTTTCTTTTTTTCTTTTTTTTATTCTCCGTTGTGAATAAATAACCCCAAATTGCAAATTGCCAAATACCCACCGTTCTAGCAACCATCGCGGCAGTTCGATGCTTGGGCCCTTTGGCCAGACCCGCCTTGTCCCAGAGAGACGCAGCCTGGTCCTGTGAGTGGGTTCTGGACCATTTCACCTTCTACTAGATCCACAAAGTCATTGCAGTGGGGCAGATGCACCGAATTTGGGTACTATTTTGGATCCAGAAAGGGGCCCCAGAGGAACAAGACAGCTGCTTGGTTGCAAAGTGGTACTCATAGCCGGACGAAGTTCCACGCAAGCAGGAGCTTCAGGTTAGTCTGAGAAGGATTGGTTGGCAGGACCCTAAAACTCGGGGATTTAGGGGGGTACACCAGTACACAAAACAGAATGGGGTAACAATGCTTCAACAACAGGTGAAGAAGAAGGCAGTGGAGCTGGTTCTGAGACAGTAAGAAGACGCCAGAAGAAGAGAGAGAAGACGCAAAGAACAGGTGCTGCCATCAACTACCAAGGAACACTGTCAGCTGTGTCATTAGCTATGGACACACCACTTGCCAGTAGGGACACACCTAGTGTGGATAAGCAACAGAAGTCCTGAGTGTTTAACAAAGGGAAGAATTCTGAGACTTCTGCCACAGTTAACAGCATGGAATGATCCGACTATTGCAGTCTGAGAATTCTGCACTTTTCAGAGAAAATGCTGTCCTTTTTAAAAGGGCCTTTACGAATTACACCCCAGATGAATGCCCCAGCAGCGAGGGGCCCTGTCGAACAGAACTTAAATTTGCGAGCAGCAACCTAAAAGACAAAGTTCCTAAGTCAAATGTAGCATCCATAATAAAATGAAAAGTCATTTTGAACAGTCACAAACAGGTCCTGCACGAACAGGTATTGGACACAGTTTTCAAGACTGAGTTAGGGTCATGTCTCCTCGATGGAAAGTCATGTCTGTTCGGCAATAAGTCAAAGGCCAAAGTCCCAGTCCAATCATAATCCCACGAGTCAGTCCTGATTTTTAGACCTGGAGTCCAAAAGACAGGCCCGATGGCTCAAAGCAGCAGCAGACCATGGGAAAAGATACTGGGACACACACTTTGCAACAACTGGTACTGGGCAGGAGTCCCAGACACTTGGAGGCCAAGTTCAGCCTCGCCAGTCCACTCCAATGCTATAAAGGACTGGCCAGCCTCCTCATTCGGCAGATGCTTACTCCGCATGAGAGTGTGGAAGTGCCGTGGCACTTGTGCGCTAGACATGTGTGAGCTACGCTAGGCTGAAGAGCAGCGCTATGTGAGAGGGAGATGAGCGCTGGCCGGAGGGAAGGCAGCCATAGCTGCGCCAGCACTAGTTAGTATGTTAGTAGGGATAGTCAGGAGAAGACACAAGTGAGTACTAGTATTCAGAGTAGATCCTCGTGTGGTAGGGAGTGTGCATGCGTGATGAGTGAGAAAAGATCAGGACTATAGATAGAAGGAGAGAAGAGAGAGATCAAGAGGGAAGGGGTGAGCTAAGGTGACACCTACCTGTTGAGCGCTGTTGTTGACATATAGCAGCTGGTGCTGATGAGCGCCAGGCCTGGGAACTCATGTTTATTGAAGAAGAATTGTAACTCTGTTCGGCACTATACATTATGGACTCTTGATGATTTCTCTTTAATCTGGGTTTGATAATTG